TAAGACCAGTATGTTTTGAGTGTTATGTAGAGAGTGAAAACCTGCATTAGCATGTGTGTATATATGCGCACTGGTGAGGTTTACCGTAGGCCTGAGCGCGGACAGCGGCTGCAATCAAAGCTGTGGCAGAGGAATAGGCCTTTCTCAAGTTGCGCAACATTTCTAACTAGGGGTGTCACGGTAACCGATGTAGCCGTTAACCTCAACCAAAACATGAATGCAAGAAACTATTGTTGGATGGACATTGACAAGACAGCCTGGAAATTGTTTTTACGCCATAAGATCAATAAAGCAACAAAATAAAACAGCAGAATGTTGCAATAATTAGACATTATTTTGAGCCAAGATTTATTTAATCTTCTCATTATTGAAAATAAAAATGTACAGACTGTTAATATAGAGGCCCAATGTATCATCCACCCATTAGTGTGACTCGTGATGGCTCTGGTAAATTGAAAAATCAAAATAAAAAGCCCATCAACTCTGCTAAACTCTGACTATAGGCAACAACCCTAACCTTAATCACATAGAAAAAGTCCTGTGTATTTCCTTCCCACATGTTGACTGGTTCTGCTGTTCACATAAACACATGAGAAGCAGGAAAGTGTGAATCTGCAGTGTATACAATGTGTGCTTGTAGTATTCATAATAAAAGATGTATTATTTTTATTATTCCAATTACTTTAGTAACTTGATGCTTTTTTGTTGGGTAATTTTGGTCAAGATCATTCTTTGTAACTTTTAGAAATGAACTGAAAAAGTCATTTCAAAGACTTCAAAATAAATATATCGTGCAATATATTTTCATAAACTTGGGCTGACGTTAAAAAAAGTCAATATGTCATAATTGTTTTCTTTGCCTGCAGTTATTTGCTATCATCAAGCAAAGACTTAATAAAAGTTTTAATTTAAAAGAACTCTTTGCTCTGAGGCTACAAGACCTAATTGTCCAGCGAACATTGTGGAAAGAAAATTAAAATTCTACTTATTTTCTGCAACGCTTTCCACACAAGAGTATGTTCAAGTCTGGTTTATGTTTAAGTGGATAGTGACCTAATGTGAAGTCTTGGTAAATTGAGCATTCATTATAATAATAAACTTACATTTAGGGTTTTAAGTTTAAGTTTTATTATTCTAAATTGGAAAGCACATGTGTTTTTCCAGATTTTAAACGCACCAGAATTAGCCATATTTTTTGTCCGTAGTCTCACAGGCAGGTTGATCTGATTAATCACAACTAATCAATTATTGAAATAGTCAAATCATAGCCAGTTTAGTATTGTAATAATCGTTTTAACCTTACATAAACTTTGACATGCTGAGAAGTGGTTTTATAGCTCAGATAAATTATAGAGTGACTGAAGAATGAAAGGAAGTAGTCACGGGGGTCAGGTTTATAAGTAAACTACAATAAGAAAAAAACTGAAGTAGAAGCTATATGTTTTAAGGCTGTCAAACTCCTCACCACTAACTTTATACGCTTTTCTAACCACCTGAACTCACAAATTCGGCTGAAATGAGATTGCGAAGCTGTGTGATGTAGGTCTGAGTAGGGCTGGGCGATATGGCAAAAAAGTAAAATCTCGATTTTAGTTCCTGCTTTGGACGATGTCGATTTTAAATCGATTTTCATTAAAGTCACTCAAGACAGACTTTGCCCTTAAAATATTGTTTATCTACCCACTCAATATTTAAGTTTCAAAACTATTTTTATTTGTTTCCCCCAATACATATTATAAAAGTCTTGTTCAGACTGTGCTGATATCGCAAGTGTAATTGATGTGCTGCTGGAACTCTCACAATATCCCTCATTCGATTTCACGATTTTCCAATTTTTCACGAATTCGATTTTTTCAAAAGCCGATTAATTGCCAAAATTCGATTTATTGCCCAGCCCTAGGTCTGAGTGCTGCTGCAGCAGTCAAAAGCTATGCAGACACTGTAAAATTCAGCTGCAGAGGACTGGAGCAGTGCACACAAGCCACATTTTTTTCTTCAGACTTTAACGGCATCTGTCATGTTATACAAGTATACGGTTATATGATGCTGTTGCAAGCAAACTGTAAAAAAGCAAAATTGCACACAGCGAGGCCACAAAAGGTTTCAAATAAAAGAAGTCATCTCTATGAACATGTTCTCCAAGGGCATCACTGGAGGTTTGTTTTGGTCAAATATAGAAAATATCCCATATTCACAGATTTTTCGGGAACAAAACATATGACAGATTAATTGACGGAATAATGGGCCAAGTAACAAATTAACAAAATCCTTAATTACAGCCCTACTCCAATCCGTCAAGTTGGTCTATGGCATTGGTTCTACGCAGTGCTGCCTTTAAAACACGTCTGACTGTATCCTCTGCAGCAGACTAATCCGGCCTCTGCTCTGGGCTCCTGCAACGTCTCCCAGGGGACAGTGCCTCTTTTCGCAGATAAAATGGATTCACTCTGGCCTAAATTGCCAGTAGCTTTGGGCCAGCGGTGTCGAACTCACTTTTGCCGATAGCCGCAACAGAACGAGTGAATGAGATCTGGAACGAAGATATTTCGGTATTTGAACGCGCCGCTTGCTTGTAGAGGGCTTGCATGGCGTTTGCAAAAGTGTAGCTGAAATTGCGGCTGAATGATGGGTTACAGAGCTGGAGAGAGTTACAGTTTACAGGGCAAAAGGGAAGCCTCTAATTAAGTCAATATATGTGACATTTACAAACGCCAGGAATGTCCACACGCAGACAAATGTTTTCACTTGGTTTGTGCTCATAATCTTTGCCATTATTGAGCTAATCCTACAGAGATGGAACAAAGTACACTACATAGCATGTGTCAAAAGTGCCACATGTCGGGTAACTATGGATCAAGTTGGTATGTTGCTTGATCCACAGTGCTCCATGCAGAAACGGGACTGACAGCGGCTTCACCAGTCCAGAGACCAGTGCGCAGGGAAAGCCATGACTTCTGCATCAACGCTGGTTCCTGGTGTCAGATCGAAGTCCATCAAGAATCCTTACTGTAGTAACATCTGTGCTGTTGGTCAAGACCTGGTTATAAGGTTGAGAGTCTATGGATATGGATATTTGGTTGGCAGCAAATAGATTAGCTTTCCATCTGTGTGCTTATCTATGACACCCATATACGATCATTACATATAGATTTGCATAATCATTGTTGATTTCGAAACGATTAAGAACAAATCCACATAGGTTTTTTGTGGAGCGCTGGGGGGGTGATGCGGCTAAAAAATCTGGTCGAGAACCCTGTTGAACGGCCAACTAAGCGATTATCCAAACAATGCTAAATTAAACCTGAATTCAACATTTCTAGAACTAACTATACATCATGCTTACTTAATATTTTTTACATTTTGCGCTAATAAATTGTTGGTAGCATGCTTATTTATGAGCATCAAACTGTTCCCTTCTAACCCATGACATTGACTCATTGTTTGTCCCAAAAGGTTTACTCTCTGGGTGAAAAAGGCTGGAGAATTCTGCCCAGGATCCACCAAGACAGACTACAGAACATGCTAAAAGTAGTCATTTAGGGCTTTCTTTTGTTGCCGTTAGCCAAACAGAACAAAGCAGCAAGGACACACAAAGGCAAAAGAGTAAACAACCAGCCAACAAGTAGTGCCTACGGCTATGACCGTTTTCAGCAGCTCCAGGCTGGTTACACAGTCAGCAACAATCCACTAAGCTAAATGCTTGTAATGCTAGGGTTTGCAAAGAGAAATTATGGAGTAATTACAACGTAACGCAAGACCAAGAAGAAACCAGGATCTCAGACTATAGGAGCATCTCGCCAATGTTTGTTACTCTGGAAAAGTACAGTCGTTACAACTGTTAGTAACCTTAATATAACCCCACTTTCCTCTGGACAAAAGACCACATAGCTATGTGGAGCTCATTGTGGTCAAATGAAATCACTGGCATGTCCAAGCACAGCGCCTGCCTATACAGACACAACACAACATAAGTGTTACAAATCCATGTACCTCTGACCCACATCCAGACAACGCATGGAAGTGTCTAGAGTAGAAGACATGCTTCCCTCAAGCATATGAGTATTCTAGTAGTAGACAGGTCAGTGATTATTTTGTCAATTATTCAGCTAATTACATTTCTTCTTCTGTTTATTGTAGGCTTTTTTTAAACCAAGTAACTGTTTAGCTATGAAGACTGTAGGCTCATACAGTTGATCATAATGCATGCTGTTTGAGTGCCCTCCTACTGATCTGTGATACGCAACAATACTAGTCATAACACACAATATGTATTAGAGAATCACAATTGGAAGACTAATCTATGATAACTGACAGTCCATTTTATGATACAGATTATAGTCTGTGATAAAAATATGTCAGGCACTTCTTCATAATTACATTATTACATTTGTGTCATGAGTTAACTCCACATTTGTCTATGCCAGCTTTGTTCTTCTGGGCTTTTACATTTAAAAATATGTGTCTGGAGCGGTCCATCTGACCACTTCTCCCCTTTAGTACCGTGGGCATCACAACAGCCTACTCCAGCGTGGAGCCTACACATTTCAGAGAGTTGTGAAGTTATATACAAACTGAGCGAGTGGATATGAACACAGTCTTATGTCCAGAATGGAGTATAGGAGTATTTAAAGGCAGTCAGATGGCGCAGATAGAGAGGCATGTCATTGTCTCAATCCTTACATCAGAGCTCTGAATGCGTAATGTAAGAAGTGGGCTTCATCTAATGCATTTTCCCGACAATATTTCTTATTATTTATAAGTACACAGACCGAACGAAACACTGTACTGTGGAGCTTAAGGTCAGATCAGTCTCGTTGTTAAATGGAGAGTGTTATTATGTACAAAGCGCTGGATGTTTCAAATGCACAAACAGTCGGTGGGTGTTTGGCGTGACGTCCTCAGTGCGAGTGCTAGCGCAGAGCTAGCGGCTAGCTGCGCTGGTGTTGAGGCACACCCTGCGTATTCTCACTGAAGAACACAAGTCACAACAACTGCTTTACCTCCTTCTTGTCCTGCAGACACTCCAGCACCGACAGATTATTATTCCACGAGTTCTTGGGGCAAAGCCGGGTCAGATCCTCTCTGCAAACCGCCTCCTCCGCCAACTTCCAGCCGGTGGAGCGCTTCCGCTGCAGCGAGGCCCCGGCTCCCAGGCTCCTGTCCGCGACCACAGGGTTGACTGCGGGCGGAACCGGGCCTCCCGGAGGGTTCGGGACACTGTCCGCATTCACCAGGGGTTTGTTGTTTTCGGCCTGGTTCTGGTGCACGCAGCAGAAGATGCACATCAAAAGCAGCAGCAGAGGAACACGTCTACAGTCCGCCATCTTCGCAGCGCTGAGCCTGCTGCTGCATTCACGCGCGGTCGGAAAAGTGAGACTCAAGAGGAGTTCCCTGGAGATGGCAGCAGGCTCATGCATATTCATGAGCGGAGGTGCGTTTATGTGCTGGATCTGATGTGTTTGTGCTGCTCTTGTGCTGGATCCTCAGAAAAGAAGATACTTTCTATTTTTTCAGTTAATACTAATGTATTAACCATATGTGGATATTTTGCTTGCACTGTGTGATACGTCCATGTTCATACAATGTTATTGTTGCATGTAACTTGATTCATAAATTACTTACTATGGTCTATCTCAATATTACAGCCAAGTAAAATAATGTAGTCTTACTGTATGACATATATTTATCTTAATATCCAAATAGTCTAACTGAGATCAACATGCCATCTGATCCCTAAAACCTCCTGTTGAAAACCTGTTAAAGGATTTCACTGTCCATTGTACTTTCCAATCAAATGTATTTTAGATGTTGTATTGCATGTTGCATTTCTACAATGTGCTGAGTCAGTTCAGTATATCAGTAAGTGGGTTGGATCAGACATTAGAGTGACCTGTGGGACAAACTCTGGGGCTGTTTGCACATCCGCTTGAACAGTTAGGGCTTTTCACTCTAAAGAGCAAACTCAAACATGGAGCTATTGGTTAAGGCTTTAGGTCATAATGAAGTCAGCTTACACATCAGCACTAAAGACTAGGAGGGTTTTCACACGCCATTTTAGGTAATTGTACTTTTTTCAGTTATGTGTCCCACAGTGGGGAAATTTCGGGTGTGTGATGTGTTCACACAAATTAAGGGGCCAGGAGTTGGAAACTTATTTCAATTATTAATTGTCGCCACAGTTGCACACACATTCATTCACCCTGAACTGTTGGAACATTTTTAGTGGTACCTGAGCACCCAGAGGAAACCGGAACAAACTACACACAGAAAAGCCCCATCAGGAGGTGGAATCAAACCCAGGACATTCTTTCTGTGAAGCACAAGCTCTAACCACTGGGCCCCGTGCTTAGACTTTGAACTTTACTGATCTGCATGATGTGACAATACATACTGTTTGGGAGGTAGAATATCACCTGCCTGATTCCAAAAACTACACTCTGGAACATTGTAGATGGAAACCGATCAATTAAATGATCTGCTGAGAAGGTCTGGTTATTGGACTGACTAAAATGACTAATATTTACAGTCCATGGTTACAAGTGCTCCTTGTTTGGGGTTTTTGTAGGACCACTCTCCTGTTTCATGTATTCCAATGTGGTCTTACTACAAATGTCAAATAAACTGTGTTTTGTATTTGGTCAAACTTGAGAAAATGAGGGCACTTTGAACAGACTTGGTATTCAACAAATAAGAATAACGGTCCCATGATCACCCTTTCTTTCACTCTTTTTTTCCCATGTGTAGAATGTAATTTTTATAAGTTTTTGATTCGTTACGAATCTATTAGACACAGAACAAACACAGGTGACTGAGACGGGATTTTATTTTCTGGCAATGTTTTTTATGCAAGGAAATTCAAGTATGTGCCAGTAATATCATTTTCATGTTTTGTATGAAATCCAAAAGAATAAATCCACAAACAATTGCCCTAATCTCATGAAAACAGGAACTGTGTGTTTGACAACAGTTTCTTGTCTCTCTACTGTTCACATAAACACATTAGGAGGCAGCCATGTGTTCTACATAGTTAGCTCTGGAGACCTACAGATGTTAGAGCTGTGGCTAAATATTATAACAAAATTATAACTATTTGATTTCGATTTCCAAAAGAAAGCATAACACACTCTTGATAAAAATAACCTATGTTTTTATTAACATTTACGTTACACAAACATGTCTGTATAAAACACACTTTATTTACACAACTTCCACAAAACAAAGTGGTCGTTTGGCACTTTGAGTTCAACCAGGAGCAAAGCAGACGTGCCGTCATTGTTCCGTGGCACTTCACACATCTCCTCATACTGATAATAAAAATACACTTTCTCCATGAGGCGTTTGGTGAAAACAAATAAAAACACATTTCCATCATGGCCAAAGTAAATGTACAGATAATGGATCATTTAGTAAAAGCACTTAACCAACAGCTGATGGCTGATAGAGCAGAACAAAGTCGATAAGGTCCATTGGTCCAGAACAAGCTTACCTTTACTGTTAGCTTCCATGACAGCCTATTCTGACAAGAAAACGTGTGCCCTATTGCTACTGAAACTTTATGGAGTCAAAATAATACGTCCATAAACTCTTAAAACCAAGTCCCATCTATTTCCAAACTTTTCCTCGTCGGCTATCTGCTGTTCACATAAACAAACAGCTGATCGAATTCTTACCTGCACCCAGAGGGATTATCTGGGAAACACATTGGCCGCATTGCTATTTAGGCCTGAGAGTTTAACACACATGAAAAAAGTCATGGTTTATAGTATGGCAATTACTGTACATTTACTTTGATCCAGTTTAAGTAAAAGGAATGGACATTTTATGCAGGCACACACACAGAAATGTATCTAACCAATACTCTGTGTAGGTCTTTACAGTTATGACAAATGTTTCACTGATAGATTGAGGGAGTAATCCCTTAAAGCTTCTGTTGCAGTGATTACATGTAAACGCCTGGAACATTTGTTCAAGGCAACAATTATTAGAACGGATGCAGCCAATCTTCTCATTTCAATCGGCCTTAATATTGTTCAAAATAAACTAATTACCCACTCAAAGTTGTAATGATAATAATTCGTGCATGTTTGAGCAATCCTTTCTCCTGCCATCCGCCATAAATGTGAAGATGTAAATAATATAATACTTGGGTGCCGTACAGTGGTCCCGTACAGTGGTCCCTCACTATGGCGCGGTCCACCTTTAGCGGCCTTGCTGTGCCACCAATGTTTGTGCAATTTGAATGCTTTTTTCTGTCAACATCATATAACAACTAGTACATGAATTACCTTTTTGATTAAAGTCCACCAACCTTTGTGGCTTGTATGCACCGCCGTGATTAGTTGTGGTCTTCCCTTAGCCCTCAGTATCTATATTTTTTAATGTATGCACAGCTTTTGAGAGCTCTAGCAGCGCTAAAACACACATGTTTGACATCTCAGCGATCACACTTCAGCTGCTCGTGAGTTCAGATGATTAGAAAAGGGTATAAAGTGTGTGGTGAGGGGTTTTACAGCCTTAAAACATAGAGCTGCTACTTAACGGATTTTGCTTAGAACTTAACCCCCACAGTAAACGAGGGACCAATGTATATAGAAACAAAAGCACAATATATCCCCTTTAAGCAGTAGGAATAACAGTAAAATAAAAATAAAAAGATTTAATTTTGATATGTTGAATACTAGACAAATTGACAGCACCATAATAAGCAAAACAAAATGGAAGTGAAATATCCTGAATGATCGTTGCAGAAAATCTGGTTCAAACTCTGCTCCTGGTTGAAGAGTTGATACTGTGTAAACTCCAGTTCATAGCTTGAGCAGCATTCGGTCCTTGGTCCTGGGGGGCATGTGTCCATTTCACTCCCACTTGTACAACTTGAGCATCTTCTCCGTGAGCGAGGCCAGGTAGTGCTCTCCGTTCACAGCGAAAGGGCTGATGTCCAGGACGGGCAGGTCAGCGGGCAGCTTCTGCAGCAGGTTGCCGGTGCTTGCGTTCCAGACCTGGAGGAGAGAAGATGGACACTTTGATGATTCTAACAGCTAGCGGAAAAATACCTCATGAAGGGTCTGTCTCTACAATTCAGGTCTTATATCACATTCAGTCAAAACAAGGGAAGCTACCTGGAAAAGAGTGAGGAGCCACAGATTGGAGACCCCTGTCGTACAGCTTGGCTCAGCTTTATCATCATTCATTCACTCCGATCACTGTGGGGGTGATCTGCTGTGAGGCAACCGGTTTATTCCATCAGCCCCTCTAACCAATCATTCACGCACACACTCAAAATAGAACAGCCTCAGCCGCCCTCTGTGGAAACTTGTGCTCCCAGAGGTCTCCCATCACAGCACTAACCAGGCCCTACCCTGCTTAAGAGCCAAAAGCCAACAGAATCAAGCTTTCACATGCAGTTTTCACTTCTTTGCTTGCATTTCTCTAGGTTGAAATGTCTAATTTTCACTACTGCTGTCAAGGAAACTACCATTGAGACTTTCTCTGCAATTCTACATTAGATTTATCATGCCAGCCATACTTTATTATGACACTGTATAGTTAGCACAATAAATCTAGACTTTTCTGTCTGTATTGCAAGGTCTTTAAAAACCCCTGAATATCCTGCAGTGAGATGCTCGTGAGAGAATGAGATGAATGATAAAGTAAGTGAATAGAGCAGAGTCGGCAGTGCGTCTCTGAGAAGCAGCCCGCAGACAAAGAACAGTTGAAATCACTCCACTTGTTTTATCAGGCGGCGTTAAGAGGAGGAGGAGATCTTATCTGCACGACCAGACCTGCGCCTTCAGATAGAGGAGCTGGTGATTCTTTATTCAGACTTTAACAAAGCTTCGATCAGAGGATACTCCCAAGATTAGACTTGTAGTGTGAGCCAGGGCTGAAATGGAACCATGATAGATATCTGGTCATTTCCAATAGTTAAAGATTAGAGATATTCTATTTTACATTTTAAGTTCATGACTAGAGCCAAAAGACTGACTACACAACATGAGCTCAGAATGTATGTCTACAAAAGCTCAAGGTCTGGATCGACTGAACAATGAGTCCCATTTGACCCAGTTGAAAATAACTACTAATTGTTTACAGATTGTGTAGTATTATAATACATATGTAATTGAGATTTCAGACAATTGTAAATTTTAAATCATTGGATGTTACAGCCCCCTCTCAGCCAACTCATGTTGTCAAAATGTACCCAATATTAGGCATTTTATTTCCACAGCTCAGTATCAGCTGAATTTATTTATAATCCACACATGTATTACTGATCACTGAAAAGTCAGCAGCTCTTGAGATCAAAATTCATTCATTTATTTAAATGTATTTAATTTATTTTCATAAATAATATGCGACTTCAGAGCTACTTACAAGCAATATATATGCTTAATCAAGTATTTTATATCAAACTGATTGTTTCAAAGTTCTGCAAAAGTTCCTGGTGCTGATGTCAAACAAGAGAGACCAACTTTGGCTAAAAGTGAGATTTTGGTTTGTTACATCATTTTTGAACACAAATGGAACATGGCAACTAGAAGAACATATAATCACATGTGTGCATAATAACAAATGCATACATTTTTATTCACAGTAGATTAGAATTTATATTCTATATTCAATTTGACAGTGAAACTACAACCAAGCTCCAATGTGTATTTGAAGTACAGAGACTCCTCAGATAATCACCATACTCCTGACCTGAGAGGAGAGTTTACTGACCATGGTTGAGTTGGAGGCCTCATCTCCAGCACAGACCAGAGTCCCTGATCCCTCTGGACTTCTGAAGACCGAGTTCTTGGTGAGCAACTTACAGGACGTCCCGGCATAGAAGGTCTGGACCGGGGAGCAGGAGCAGACCGGGGCCTCGCTGGAGTCCTGCTGGGGCGTCCGGTTTAGGGCCATGAGGACACAGCGGAGGGAGGGGTTCGAGCGCCCTGGGGACCAAGCAGGTTTTTATCTTACTGACATAGAGAAGACAAAAACATGACAGATGTAAGCATGCATCTGATGGATTGACTAAAGAACTAAATAGACCGAATTCTGCTGGAGCATAGTCATCATCATCAGCTCTAAACCACATATTCCCTGTAACATTGCTGTGGTTGCACTTGTAAGTAAATAAGTAATCTTTATTTATATAGCACCGTCACAAAGCAATTTACAATTTGTTGTTTTTAGGGCATTTTGTCTCTCTCTCCACTAGGAGACATGGAAGCGGGTTCGCCATACAGAAGGCGCTTGCCAGGCATATTGTAAATTTAAATCTAGTGGTAGGGGAAACCGGAGCACCCAGAGGAAACCTACGCTGACATGGGGAGAACATGCAAACTCCACACAGAAAGTCCTGGATGTGGATTTGGTCCCTTCTTGCTGTGAACCACAAGAGCTAACCACTGTGCCATCGAGCCGCCCGTATTTGAGTCTAACAGAGTGGCCCCTCGCCTCACCTGGCCGGTAGGTGACCAGACAGTGCCTGCTCTCCGGCTCCACCTGGATGTCCGTGCAGCCGGAGTTCTCCAGGGGCAGCAGGTGGGGTCTGTAGGTGGTCTCGTTCACCTGCTCCCAAAAACAGCCCCCCTCCAGAGAGCCAGCGATGAGCCCGCCGCAGGGGAAGGCGCTGGAAGCGGCGCGTGGCACGTAGCACAGGGACGCCACGGGACACCTGAGGGGGGGAGGGTCAGTGCAGATGTTTTTAGACTATTGTTGTAACGTTGTGCTTGGGGGGGATTGGTATTACCTTAGATATGATTTATTCTATTCTTAACAGTTTCATTTATATAATCAATGTGGTTTAATTTGAATCAGTACAATGCTTTAGCCCATATCATTTTATTTCCTTGTAGTTTAACTGTAGACCGTTTATTGTAATGTGGACTGACAGAGTCCTGACGTCACCATAGTGTTAGCCTAAATGCGGAAGAGGCGGTTTTTGTTAAGGCAAGCAAAGACAATATCAAAAAATAAACACCAGGATCAAAGAGAGCCCTAAACCACAGATTTCTTAAAGCTAGGGTACCCAACTTTCAGACACAATCCTTGTAATTAGTTCCTTGCTCACAAAATTGTTTGGTTCTTTGACTATTTTCACATGCATGCATTTGTCACATCTTCAGATCAGCTTTCTCAGACATAAAATGGAAAAAAAGTGATTTGTGAACCAATTTTGGCAGGAAACTTTGGCAGGAAAAATAACATATTAGTTTTAAAATCAAAAATAGTTTAACTCAGCTCTAACTGTCAGCTTAAAACAAACTGTGCTCAAGACTCGTAGATCATGGTTATCGATTCTCACAAACCACATATCTCCAGTCACATTTTTCACAGATGCCAGGTGGGACTTCATTGTAATGAAATACTTGCTGGATGTACAAAAGCACACCAGCTACATTTGAAGAGAAAGTTCATTTTGTCCACGTATGGGCTACGCCTGAATGTAAGCCACAGGTTTTCATGTTGTAATGTAACACTTAACCAACAGCCAATGGACAGCTAATTGAGTAAATCCAAGCTGATAGAAGACATGCTTCCAGGACTCATTTACCAATCTATTCTGACAATAAAATGTGTCCTATAGCGATGGAATCATAAATCAGTCCATAAACTCTGCTCTGACAACAGCCCATCTCGGCCACAATAAAAATAAATACATTGGACTCATCGCTATACAGGCCGCAATGTTCAAAGAGATGGAAAAAGTAGAAGGGTTATAGTCTGGCAATAACGGAAATTTTCGTGTCTAAAAGTTTACTACGGGATCAATAAGAGACCATAACTGACAAAGTGCTCAAACCCTCCTCTGAAACTGTGTAAAGGAGCTTGTCTCTCTGTGGGATAATCCTCTGACACATCTGAAAGTGGCCGAAACCTCCATGGATCTGTGCCAAAGGAGATCAAAGAACCCAATATCGACACTTGTTGAAATGAGTATCTAGCATCAATTCTGGTTTTGGTTTATTTATTTATTTTTAAGCCCACAGAGAGATATTGAAGACTGAGTGAAGTCCTGGTACCTGGATCGGAGTGGCAGCAGCTCCTGGATGTGTGTGCTGGTGTCTCTGGTGTCGTAGACCAGCACAGAGCCGTTGATTAGGCCAGCGTACACATAGTTGCTGTTGTCCAGACACCAGCAGCAGCTCCACACCGGCCGCCCCGCATTGTACGTCTGCACCACTGTGTTGGTCAGCAGGCTGGAGCACAAACAAACACAAGAATGTATGTTAATAATGAAAAAATATCATAGCCATTAACATCATCATTATACCTGGAAAGTCCCACTGAGATTTAATCCTCTCATTTTCAGCGGAAAGTATGAAAATAAGAAAGTATATATGCAATCTGTTTTGTATAGCACATTTCACAGACCAAGCTCGCACAAAGCACTTTACAATTTATCAGTAATTTCCATCCACACAGTGACGATAGAAGCAGGATGGCGAACAAACAAAGCCTTATTTGTGTTAAGCCTGGTGTATCAAAGCCTCCTGACCATCACCATTCATTACATTCAGACCTAGTGTACATGTTTTATGGAGTAGGGGAAAAGTGGAGCACCCAGAGGAAATCTGCACAACACAATACAATACAATACAATTTATTCTTGCATAGCCCTGAATCACAACAGAAGTCATCTCAGACCTTCTGGCTGTGAAGCTCAAGCGCTAACTGCTGCTATAAGCGAGCTTGGAACTGAAATATACTTCTTTGGGGCATTGGTTATAGGCACTTATACTATCAAACTGCATCTCAACCCTTTAGTAAAGGTAAATCATTATTTAAAAAAAAATAGGGGTTCAAAAGGTACGTAAAAACTATTTGTGTCGTTTGTGTCCTACATCTTAGAAAATCCAAAATTGAAAAAATAAATAGGTGCTTGTACTGCAAAAGAAAGTCTAGTTTTATAAAGAGTGCAGTGTAACAGCTCAGAGTATTCGCCTCGTACCTGGTGAGTTTGATGGTGTTGTCCAGAGCGGCGGACAGCAGCAGACTGTCGTTCTGCTTGTTGAAGGACAGGCCTCTGATCTGTTTGCTGTGGATGGGGACGTACTGACTGGCTTTTATGTTCACCACGCTCATCTTCTTCACCCCGCAACCTGCAGAGAAACACACAGAGGAGAGCAGCTTAGGTCCACAGCGCTTAAAGACCTTATGCCGGGTTTAAAAAAAAATAAATTGTGGATATCAAAATTGCATGACAATGTCAATCTGAAAGAGATTCCGGCAACAAAAAATCCTATATTTTATAAAAAGAATGTGTTTTTCATGAATTTAAGTTGTCTATGCTCTAACCTGTGTGTGACGTCACAGCGGGTAACGCCCATGCATTGAAAACCATGGATCTATGCCACAGGACTGCCTTTTCTCTCTTCTCTCCACTGGTGCCCAACACAATACTGCACTCTACAGGTGACAATTGCTCACTACACATAAATTGCCGTTTGAGAGTGAAAAAGTGTCTGAGGTGGGATTTGAACCCCAGTATCTGGATTGGTAGTCCATCAATACAACCACTGGACTATCTCAGTGACAACGAAGAGTCACAATCTGGTATTTATGTCAGACTCGCTGTACACGGCCTTGTCATCTTGAATATCCGCGAAAAAAGAACGAATACCAAATTGTAAACAACTTACAGCGTTGAAACGTACCCACTCTGACGTCACCAAGGGCTGTGAAGTTTTTTCGTCTCTAAGGGCGTTGCTATGGGGTTATTTCGATTTGGGGGGATCAGACAAAAAAAAACAACAACTGATTTTGAAACCTTTAGTAGTTCTCTTCTAATATAAAATGGTATTAAAACTGTATTTCTAAATAAATCAAACCCGGCATTAGGGCTGGGCGGTATAAACGGTATAAGCGGTATGCGGTATAAATTTGGCCCACGGTAGAGATTTTTGTTATACTGGCATATTGCGATAGGTCATTATGTCATCAAATTGCGCAGGCTCTGACGCCAGCAGAAAGCACCAAAACAAACCGGCATTCAGCAGCATTAGCCTAGCAGCTTTAGCCTAGCAGACACCACTGGAAACAACAGCACGGCTTTCACACCGTTTTTCTGTCTCTGTATTGGTCACAGCGGCCCCAGCGGAGGTAAATACACACACAGCAATCACAGTTTACATGTCTACCTTTCGGCCAATGAGTGTCAAAGGGGCGTAGGCTCGAAGCGCCATCGTGAGCCGAAATAGATCCATGCTTGTGCCGTGTCCGCATCATCTCAGAAGTTTTGTAAAGTTAGCGTCCGATTCAGACTTCCGCGGTCCATAGATCACGAAAGCTACTTTGTTAAACAAAATTAATTGTGCCAAAATGAGCATTTACATCAATTGTTCAAATCAAATGCGCTGTTTTAATGCAGATAAATCCATTGAATCATCCAGTTCACAGCAAGCGCTTAGGGAGCGTCAACAAATGGCAAGACTAGCTTTGTAAACGAACAATAGCTTTTACTGAAGCCATGCATACGCACTAAACTCTGACACTATAAATAATGACCATGTCTAACTGCTACAGATATTATATAATATATTTTATATTTTTATATTATTTAAAATTGCTTTCACAGTTAATGGTCTTTACTGTAGCATACATAAATAATGTATGTTACAGCATTTGTCTCTCACCTGATTTTCAAACTCAAAAAATATATATCAGATTCTAATGTATAGATAAGTAACAATCTTGACTATTTTATGCAAGAACCTGCTAAACCTATATTGAAATTCACATACCAAATTATACCGTGATGTATACCGTCTACCGTCTGTGACCCAAATCATACCGCGATATGAATTTTAGGCCATATCGCCCACCCCTACCCTGCATAAGGTCTTTAAATGAGGGCTTTGCTTTCTGCCCAAGACTTGTTTCTCGGGCCGCAAGAGTACAGTATTTGCTGGACAATAACATTTACTTTCTCTTCGAATTCTGCTGGTGCGATTTATTTACAGTACTGTTATTTACAGTACGCCTTCAAAAAACACAATCCTTGAAATCTTTTGCAAACAAGAATACATTTCTTTGTATTCTAACCTAACTGAAAAAGTGTTTTTTTTTCTTGAACAAAATTACGGCCTCCACTCTAGCAATAGCCTGGCCTAAGCAATCCGTAAACTCCGGTCAATTATAATTTCCCTACATGAACGCCAGGGTCTGATCCTAGTGGCTGTGGTTTCCTCGGTCGTATCCCCTCAAAAGCGGGGGAGGTGTTGCAGGCCGGTGACGTCAAGAGTTTGCGCCGAATTTGCTGGTTATAGTTTGGCAATGGCGGCGAATGCGATAGTAAAGTAATCCGTTCTGGTTCAGCTCCAAATATTGAAACCGGAACATGATGAATGTTTAGCAAATGTCATTGCTGCAAAGATGTTGTGGCTCTACTCCGCACGGGCTCCGTTAGCGGCAAAGGAGATGGCTAAAGCTAGGCTAAATGCTAAAGGCCTCACTCACTCTGGCACATTACATACGTCAGGGTAAACTCAGATCCAATCGTTTCAATCTGCAAAAGGAGTTAACGCCTCCCACCTGTTAACAGAGCTCAACGGAGCAAATCCAGACCTTAGTACAAAATAAAATTAGTACGATGGTTTGGTAAGACCAGGCATAATACCAGACCATAATAATATGGATAAGATCTTTTCATTGCTTTAGATTTGCAATAGATCATGACCAGGTTCCAAATGTTTGCTCTGGCAGTTAGAAAGTGAAAAAGCACATTTTTTATTTGGACACAGAGGAGCAGACTTGCCTGGGACCAGAGTGGCGTGAGGCGAGGGCTGGGAGGCCAGGAGGCAGCTCAGAGGCTCACAATAGGCCAGAACCCGACAGCCGCCCGTTTGGGACATCAACACGGCTTTGGAGAAACTGTACTGGCCCGCTTTGGAGCCGTCTGCTCTTTGCGAGGCAAGGTGATTCCAGGAGGAAGAAGAGGAAGAGGAGGAGGAGGCTGAGGGTACCGAGCTTCGACCAGTTTGTGACATCAAAGATCTCAACTCCTAGAAAAGATGATGAAAGAAAATGCATTGTTTAAAGAGCTGAAAGAAAAAGTCTGTTGGTTTGTGTGCTCTAAACCAATATAATATTCAATACAGATGAAGGTCAACACTGCCCTCAACTGTCTCATTAAAATTAACATTCATTCATTGTAGAAGAGCTAACATAGATCTAGTTATCTGTATTACACATGATAAAATAACATAGACAAAGGATTTAGGACAGAATACATAAAGCTCTGTTCTTTGTACATACATAATCCAGTCTCTGTAACGGACAAGCTCCCAAGCAAACCATGAGCGGTTGTATTTCTCTATTCTTTCACTTAAATTGGCAAAAACACAAATCCTGAACCAATAATTAAAAAGGTATTTAGCTTGTGTTGCGCCCTCTGCTCCGTGGTTTTGGGAGAGGTACGTGGTTGCTTTGAGAATGAATAAACAGGGGAGAAAAGAGTTGCGTTCTCACTCTGCAGTTTATTTTCAAAAAAAGAACCCCAGACCTTGCTGCGCAGGCGCGTTTCACATGTCTCCGCCAACCAATAACAATGAACTTTGTAACAGATTTACTTATACATTTTTTTCATATATATACTTTTTATCTCTTATTAAATCTGTTTCTAATTGTTATGAAATCATGTAATATATTGCCTTTTACAATTGTTTGAAATGATAATCCTGTATTTCAACCTGTCACACTTGCAGCCGGTTAATCAATCCGAACATTATGAAAGACTTTCTTCAGAATTCCACTTAGCACCCCTTAAACACCGGAGCAAACAGATTTATCATACAGCACAGACGGACTTAATAATAAAAACTCACTATTGTACATCTCAATTAAAAATGCAATCAGTGATTTTTTCCAGATGCATTTTTTTTTTATATTGTGGGAAAACGTCCCTAAACCCTAAAAGTAGTCAAGTAATCATGTGTTTTCAAATAGTAATGGAATTGACCAGATGCCTATAGTGTCCAAAAAATTAGTATTAGGATGAGTTTACCCCCCTCACCCTCTTCCTGTTTCTCGCGAGTGCGCGCACCTGAGTGTTCGCATTTTTTAAAACCTAAAAAGGCTGAACAGAAAAGGCATGTATCACGTTTGCCACCTGTTCTCCCTGCAGTGACAAAGAAAAGAAAATGCTGAATGTTTAGTTTGGTGGAAAGGCGAGGGGGGAGTGGTTTCCAGTTGGTGCTACGGCTAAGCTAACAACATTGCTTACTGCATCTTTAAGATACTAATAAATATAGAAAGAGTTTCACTTTCTGAAATGTTGTGTAAAAGTTAAATGTTCCTTCTTTGAGTTGTGGTGCAGTGTCTAAGTCTGTATTCCTGTTATATAGAGCGGATGTCATAGGGCCGTAGAATCTGCTTTTTGGTTTGTTCATTTTTGTTGTACCTGTAGTTCCTTCTGCATCTGCCCGCACTGGTTGGTGACCACCTGAAGTCTGAGCTTATCTTGAGCCGACTCCAGTTCAGCTTTCCTCCGGAGAGACTGCTCATGTTCCAACGCTCTGCACGGACACACATGATTGACTGTTATGTTTATATGCATACAAATATGAAGTCATTAAGGAAATTGAATAACTTTATCGTCTATCATACGTAGTGATGACAGAAGTTTGTCTTTGGCTTGCAAGAACACACACATTCCCAATTCCCAGACAAGCACACAAATTATGAAAAAGTATAATAGTACTTTAGCTTTAAATTAGCATAAAATTCAATCAAGGACAAAGTTCAGCGTAAATGTACAGTTCAGTTTAGTGCAGGCACAACAGCAGAAATAAGGCAGTTGCATTAGGTGGGGCTTATTCACTCCCAGATAGTGAGGCACAAAAGACTTCCTATATTTGCGTGTGTGTGTATTTACAGCATGCATACAATATATTTCAACCAGAATTTATTAACTTCCCTCTACGTGCATTTTAAAGTCATTTAAAACCAGTTCCCGAGTCACTCACCGCTTCAAACTCTCCTGCTCAGAGTTGTCAAGAGCTCTCAGTTTTGTTACATACAGTTTCACTATGTCGGACCGCTTGGTTTTTTTGTTGCACTGTGAAGGAAACAAACCATAATAATTTATATGCCTCCATAATTAGTGCCAAGCTGTTACGTACCTGTGGACACTTAGCGGATGTACCGGCTGATTTGATCCACCTCTGGATGCAGGTGAAGCCAAAGAGATGTCCGCAGCGCAGGGCGGAGGGTCTGTGCTCCCCGGCCGTGGTCCAGGGCTCAAAGCAGATGGTGCAGGTGTCCCCCTCTCCCTCAGGCTCAGTGGGTGGGGATGGGGTCAGGGCTGGGGGTGGGGCTGCCTGCACACACAGGAGTCAGATGCTTTATTAGCAGTTCATCAAAAACCACTACCATGTCTTGTTTGGTTTGTGTAACATTACCTGGGCACCTTGACTTGGAGCAGCAGTCCTCTCTGTGCTTGGAGCGGAAATGGAGCCTTCAAATAAGCAGAAAGCATTCAAGATGCACGATTAAGAATAACAAAGTCAATGTAAAAGAGCTGCATTATCCCAATTAATAAACATGTCATGTAACCAACCAACAATAATACATGTCTGAGTTAAACATGTGCACTATTGTATAGTTAGTTTTTTAGAAAAGTTTATAATGTATGTACTTGTGCGTTTGTATGGATGCATTGCTGCTGCTGGACACCTGAATTTCTCCCACGGGGATCAATAAAGTGTCTATCTCTTTCTCTCTCTCTCTCTCTATGTATATAGTACAAAATAAATGATGGTTGTTTTAGAAATCAACAAAGGTCCAGTGACTATGACTTTTACAGGTTCTTCCCTTCTCTTTAGAAAAGGCCATGTCTCAGTTGGGTGGACAGCAGCTCATGAAAACAGCCACTATTCTATTCCGCTCACTTAGGTCTTGTGCTTGCAGCTGTGGGACTGTCCCGCTCGTGTGGGGGGTGGCAGGGGGAGCCGGTTGGTCCATCACAGGGGCAGCAGGGGGGGCTTGGTCGGTGGAGTCTTCCTCGTCGGAGTCACTGGTCTCTGTGCTGCTGCTGCTGGACTCTGGCTCTACTGCGTTAGCAGCCGGAGCTCGAAGCAGGAAGTCGGGGAAATCTCTGGAAGGCGAAGCAGTTTGACTGGGGTAATGCACTCGCAGGCCCTGTCTGCAGAGAACACACCGAAAAAAGCACATTTAAAGATGTGGCAAGAAACGTGCTGAGTGAACATCATTTTAGATATCACCATTAATGAATGGCAACCTCTTTTGATGTGATTAAAAAGTAAACTGAATTTTACTCAGGTATGGGAAATACTAGATACAAAGTATCTAGTATTCAATGCAATTTTGGAACATAAGTTATAAAAACCATAATTTTAATTTGGAGAAAAGACTAAGAACAATCTAATACAAGATTTTTTGGTAAAGGCTCAAGACATACTAGACAAACACAATAATAATGATAATGTGAAATACAAAAATTGTAAAACAGCTACCCAGGTGTATAACCAAGTCCATAAAACGTACCTTATCCGCCGCCGTATCTGCGGCGTTGTAGCCCGGCCCGCGGCTCTCTGACTAAAGGCCCAGGTGGCAGGCAGTCGTGGAGGGGGCCGAACCCTCACATTGCCCCCTTCCTCATCCTCTACCTCTGTGCTGCTGCCAGAGTCGGTCACCACATAGGGCTCATTTGGGTTCTGTGCTTCAGCCTGGGCAGCTGCTCTGGTCTGCACCCCTGGACTGTCCACCTCCATTGCCTCCATCTGCAAAAGTACATTTATTATTGTGTGATACATTTGTAACATTGGCATATAATCCTCCACATTCTTTTCACAACCATGTCTATGTGAAAAAGGTTTAGGAGTAAAGTAAAGGAGAGCCGTCATGCGCCCCACAGTGGGGAAATTTCATTGTTGCAGAGCACATTCAGGACAGTAGTATGAACACACAAGGACAGGAGAAAACAGAACATACAGAGATAAGTAGCTGTAGGTGCTTCTTAAATAGATGTGACTGCTTCATAATTGCTTCAGACATTGAGACAGATAAAAGGAGTAGATAGTGTAGTAATAGGAAACGCACGGAGTCACAGCGGTGCAGCAGATCAACTCCAGACCGAGGATGTGGGGCCTGGTTGCAAAACAAAGCTCACGATGTCCATTACAGACCATCAGCTGCCATATGATTTCATTGCAGCATGCGTTGCACCGGTACTTATTATAGGAGGGTTCATTTGGCGTATCTGTGGTGGGTGGTCAGCCAGATTTTACTTATAGCGTAAAATCACCGATTATGCATCAGCCGGATTTGTATCAACGCTGTGAATGTGGAGGTTACCAGATCTGGACATCACGCTGTTGTGTGCATGCGCGAAGCGGGCTGCACGGCAACTCCATATGGACAAACCTGTCTGATCTCCCCATGGATCTATAATAAACGGATCTACCCCAGTTTACAACAATTCTGGGCATTCTGTAAACACACGGGCTCCAAGGTACAATGCCAAACACTGATACTTATATTTTTTTTACCGATGATCAACTAGCTCACTGCTAATGCTAGTCAACGTCTGTTTGTAATACGCTTGTTGGGTTGACATTAACGACATATAGCTAACCACGAACACTAAAATTACGTTATTGTGTGAAACAGAACCCTTTCTCCCAATTTGTTGCGTTGCATGTATCTATTCTGTCGTTTTCCAGAGGCAAAGAACGCAAAGGGGAGATCCATGAGGCAGACACTTGCAGAGGCAGCTTAGCGACGTTAGCTTCAGGAGACACCGAGGAACACGTACCTTTAGGCAGATGGCGGGTTAACTGCTGGAGAAGAGACCCTGCGGGGGATTCATCCACAACACCATAATCCTTACATTGTATAAACACACTTTATGTATGAACATGCACCAATTATAATTCTTTCCCGGGCGATAGAGCTCATTATTTTACTGGAGCTCGAATCTCCCGGCTCCCGTGAACTAACCCCGCCTCATCCTGTTCAGCGTCACAGCCGGAGATCACTATGTCATAGGCTACAGTCTATGGTCATAGGCCAGGTCCAGGTTCTGTCCATGTGCAACTTTCAATTGATCTTTTACTCACACATTGTTTGAGCAAAAAAAATGCGCAACACAACATTAATACCACAACTCTTTACCACCCACTGAAATAAAAACAAAGTATAAAGTCATGACCAGCAGGAGGCGTGCATACACTTCATGGTGTGGAGGACAAAAACTACCAAAATAATATATACATAACAATAAATATATAAAGAAATGTTCAATTAAATGTCATGTTTATTTAAAACATTTGATTTGCAAACAAATGCATGCATTCACATAAATATATATATATATATATATATATATATATATATATATATATATATATTATATATATATATATATATATATATATATATATATATATATATATATATATATATATATATATATATAAATGTGTGTACATATTTACACACATTATGTACACGTTTATTTAAACATGTAAAACACTGTTTTACATATGTATGAATAAATAAAGGAGGAGGAAAATCATGTTTAGTACCCTTAGTGCAGGTTGCACCAACACAAATAAAAAAGAGGCCTGAGAGGCAGTGTCAGGAGAGGGACGCACAACAGAGGAGGGAAAAAGAAATGGTTCAACCTTAGATGCGAAACAAAAAAAACAGCAAAATTCTGTTTGGAGATGCAGCGGACTGGACGGGGGACAGCAGACACAACACCCATGTCCGAGTTGGACCAGCGCGTTGGGGCCATCATCAGGGACACAGCACTCTCAGGTAGGCTCTGGACAGACCTGGGCCCCAATGCAACGCTGTCACCCCCTCCCTGTGCCGCTGCTACTTCAGATTAATCAAAAGGTAATTTGTTTTATTGTCTGGAATAATATCTTTATTTTTATATTGCAGTCTGGTCCCATCATTGCGTTGGCACGCATTTGATTTATAATTATTTTTTTAAATAGGCTAAATCACCCCAAAACATGAAATTAATGAATACATACATCAATATGACAGACATATCACTGTAATGTTGTATTTTATTTTATTGAACTTCACAAAAGAAAATACCAGCGTGGCAACATGTTGGCACTGAAGTGTGCTCCTGAGTATTCTTAGGATTTGTTCTTCCCTAAGAGAAATCCTGGGTAAGAAAAAAATTCAGGAATGTCGCAATCCTTGTAAGTAGAACAGTTTGTGAATGAGGCCCATTGTTATTTTACATAAGTCTCGTCATCTTAAATGCATTGCAGCCTTAAGCAATGGACTTTGGGCCTGAAGGTTGTGGGTTCGAGCTCACCGTAAGACCTACTTCACGACTCCCACTAATGACTGCTGTCGTTGCGTCTTTGGGCAAGACACTTAACCCCACTTTGCCTGAAGCCCCCACTGAAAGATCTCATCTCCTGTGGACTCACCACCTGCAGGAGGATCAGTGAGGGGCTGGTGCTCTGTGTACTGGGTGCAGCTCTGACTGCCACCCCCCGACCCAGAAATGGATTAAGGGGAATAAAATGGATGGATCTTAAATGTATGCAAAAAACATAGACTGTTTCCTTGTTATTGCAAAAAAAAAAACTATTAGGTATTAATGCAACAGGTATATATACATATTTGTACAGTTAAGGGATAATTAGTGCATTTATAGAAGTATTATTTATTATTATGTTCAGTAAACTACTCTTGACCTTATTTGTTAGGGCCATGTAACGATGCCTTTCTTTCTATCACCGTGATTCAGATTCCACCACACTGCGTAGTTTATCCACCAACACTGCAAAAAAATAATGATAAAAAACATACATTATTGTTTTTATTATGGCATTAGAAACAATAGGGAAGGCCTGACTTCTCCTGAGATCTACCTCCAGCGGATGGTCTGTGGAAACCCTCGTAGGCCCGACATGCATCGATAAGATCCGCGAGTGCTTTGGGACAGTCCTCGGGAAGTGGCTCCATGTATTTCTCTTTGCCCACTCTCCGAAGGATTTCTTTATTTGTCCACTTTGCTTTGGTTGATGGATCTGCCAAAGATTAGGACTGAGTAGTGTTACTTTAAAATATCCTCCTACAGTATAACCGTGTGGCCATTCAAAATAGTAAGACAATAACAAAAAACGTATTACTAATGCATGTATCATTTTTCATGCTGCAAAATGAAAGGATATTCAACCCATTTTCATACCTTCAAACGGACGCCGACGAGTGGCTATTTCCCACATCACAATGCCGAAACTAAAAAAGCAATAAAAATGAGTCAATTCACACATTATAGCCTGTACTGTATGCTTTTTCCTTTACTGCAACTAGATTAAGAAATTAAAGCCGCAAGCGGCCGGGGGGTGCCAGCGTCAAACGGCACCCCCCGCACCGCGCGCACCACCCCGTACTAAGCCACCCCGCACCACGCCGCCCTGCACCACGCCGTCCTGCACCACGCCGTCCCGCATCACGCCGCCCCGCACTACGCCGCACCACACCGTACCACGCAGCACCGCTCAAAGGAGGTGGCGCCGCCGTGTGATGATTTGTTCCCGTAGCCATAGAAGATTGTTAAATTGTAATGACTATGATAAGTAGAGCTGGTTTGGCTCCCCATGTAAACTTTGACTCAGTCTGTAGGGGGCGCTAATGGGCCAATTTCAAATATTTCACTTTCACCTGACCTAAACCCTGGAGTTGAACATTGGATTCAAGTTTAATGCAAATCAGACTTTGTTTGTGCAAACGGGAAAAAAAATTATGTTGTCAAAAACGGACAAAAAATCCCTCACAATTTGCCGCTCCGCTACTCAAACAACGTTTTACTGATCAAAATTCCCTCAAGTCATTTTGAAGGTAAATGTGTTGAGATGATTTGGAACAATTTTGAGGCCAATCAGTGAAACGGCCGAGGAGGAGTCGCTTTCCAACCGACATGTATGAAAATGATTGGTTTTCATTTTTCCATTTTGCAATGAAATTTATGGGCTTCCTGTTTGTCAGAGGGCTTAGCCATAATAACATGTTTTCCATGTCTTGACTTGAGGAACATGTGTACCAAATTACATGGTTCTACGATAATTTTGACCTCGAACCCCTCCCATAGGCATTTTTAAATTGGCTGTTGTAGGTGGCGCTATAGAGCCAATTTCAAAATTTTAAGTTTCAAATGACCTAGACCCACGAGTTGAACAATGGATTCACGTTTTGTGCAAATCAGACTTAGTTTGTGCAAACGGAAGCAATTTTTCTATTGTCAAAAACTGAAAAAAATACGCCACTTTTTGGCGCTCCGCTGCTCAAACAAAGTTTCACTGATCAAAATTCCCTGATGTCATTTTGATGGTACATGTGTTGAGATGATGTGGAGCGATTTTGAGGCGAATCGGTGAAACGGCCGAGGCTGATTTGATGTTTGTGTGAGGTGTACATTTGCAATAAATGGGGAGCATTTGTCGTCGCCACGGCAACAGAGTAAAAAATAAGCCTTGGACCCTATTGACTTTTTGAATCAAGAGGGCAAAACAGATTTATGTGCAAAATTTCAAACATTTTGAAAAAACGAAATTTGAAAATGCCCATCTAAAACTTTGAAATAGTCTGTAGGGGGCGCTAATGTGTCAATTTGAATCAATTCACTTTCAAATGACCTAGACCCTAGAGTTGAACAATGTATTAAAGTGTTGTGCAAATCAGACTTTGTATGTGCAAACGGGAGCAAATTTAATGTTGTCAAAAACGGCCAAAAAAAGGTCACATTTTTCCGCTCCGCTGCTCAAACAATGTTTCACTGATCAAAAATCCCTGAGGTCATTTTGAAAGTACATGTGTTGAGATGATGTGGAGCGATTTTGAGGAAAATCGGTGAAACGGCAGAGGAGGAGTTTTTTCTTTTCTTGACTTGAGAAACATGTGTACCGAATGTCATGACTCTACGACAAACTTGATCTCCAAAAGTCCCATAGGGGTATTATTTTGGCTGTTGTAGGTGGCGCTGTTCTGGCATTTTTTGAGTCCAATAAAAATAAACTCCAAAATATCAAATTTTTCGCCAGGTCTGATTTTTGGGCAAAATTTAACAACTTTCCATGCATGTTCAGGGGGTGAAATTAAGGCTCAAAGTGCAGAAGAAAAAAGAAAGAAAGAAAGAAACCGCCACCATTTGCATTCACCATTGTGAAAGCAATAGGCCCTTACCCCGTTCGGGGCTCGGGCCTAATAATGATTTTTTTTTTCTCGACGTCTCGAGCAAAAACAATATAAGTTTCAATGGCACGTGATACATCATTTTAAAGTGTTTGAGTTTACGCACGCATCCGTCACGTAGGGGTGAGTGACGGGCGCTGACGCGTCCGTCACTCACCGCCACCATTTGTTTTCACCATTGTGAAAGCAATAGGCCCTTACCCCGTTTCGGGGCTCGGGCCTAATAAAGATAATACATGTGATATTTTGTGAATGAGGATAAAATGTCATTTAAACATGTCTTCTAAACATTAGCTGTGCATACAACTGAAGGATTGTGTCTTCACTCTTTTGAATGTACTGTGGGGTTATAATGTTGCTTTTCTTGTTTTGTTAATCACTTGTGTATGACCTGTGCTATTTAAATAACATTACCTTGCCTAAGTGCAACACCTAAACTTGTATCTTTGTGTATTTGTGTATTATCTTCCCTATAGACTTTTGATTTATCTCGAGATATTCTTGATCGTAGTAACATACTTGAAATAGATCCACTCAATCAACCAATAATAGATCTTTCCTTCCTGGTTCTGTCAGACTGTACAAAAAACACTGCAGTTCCATTCATCAGTAATAACAATGTACTGTATCCATGTGAGCTTGAATCTGTGTATGTGTATCTGCCGCAGCCTCACCTGTAGATCTCGCACTCTTTGCTGTACTGGTAGTCGATGCTGTTGAGCATTTGAGGAGGAGTGTAGCACAGAGAGCGGATCTCTCCGTCTCTTCTTCCCTTTTTCAGTGACGTCTCAGTTCTGGTGAGTTCAAAGCCTCCTAACTGGACACACAGACACCAGGACTGCATTGCTCACTCTTGGATCCTCCCAACTTTTAGTAACAGTCATTTATCAACAATAGTGCAAAGGTTTTATGTAGCGCTTTTTTGGACACTCAAAGACACATGTGATTATTCATTTCCACTCTTTCTTGAATAACCACTTTATATTGTACATAATATATCCTGAACAGACTATATTTTTTGCCTTTAACATGTGTGCACACCTTCTGTCTTTTGTACAATCTATCTATGTGATTCTATCTATGCAAAATGTGACATGTACATTTCTCCAGTGTGAGATCAATAAAGTCTATCTTACCAGAGAGCGACCAGAGAGTGAGACCAGAGAGAGACCAGAGAGTGAGACCAGAGAGTGAGACCAGAGAAAGACCAGAGTGTGAGACCAGAGAGAGAGGCCAGAGAGAGACCAGAGAGAGAGACCAGAGAGTGAGACCAGAGAGTGAGACCAGAGAAAGACCAGAGTGTGAGACCAGAGAGAGACCAGAGAGTGAGACCAGAGAGTGAGACCAGAGAGAGACCAGAGAGTGAGACCAGAGAGAGAGGCCATAGAGAGACCAGAGAGTGAGACCAGAGAGAGAGGCCAGAGAGAGACCAGAGAGTGAGACCAGAGAGTGAGACCAGAGAGAGAGGCCAGAGAGAGACCAGAGAGTGAGACCAGAGAGTGAGACCAGAAAGTGAGACCAGAGAGCGACCAGAGAGCGACCAGAGAGTGAGACCAGAGAGCGACCAGAGAGCGACCAGAGAGCGACCAGAGAGAAAAACCAGAGAGCGACCAGAGAGAGAGGCCAGAGAGAGACCAGAGAGTAAGACCAGAGAGAGACCAGAGAGCGAACTGAGAGAGACCAGATAGAGAGGCCCGAAAGAGAGGCCAGAGAATGACCTGAGAGTAAGACCAGAGAGAGACCAGAGAGAGACCAGAGAACGGCCAGAGAGAAACCAGAGAGAGACCAGAGAGCGACCAGAGAGGGAGACCAGAGAATGACCAGCGAGAGAGACCAGAAAGAGACCAGAAAGAGACCAGAGAGCGACCAGAGAGTGAGACCATGAGAGCAATTAGAGAGAGGGGCCAGAGAGAGCCCAGAGACTTGTTTGTCTTATTCTTCTATTTGTCAGCACATCTGCTCCTGTGTTTATATTTTGACAATACAAAAAAATGCTAACATGCTGGATTATGGCAAAACATTTAATTAAAATGTTGTATTTTTTTGTGTCACACTCGTGTTTACCTTCACTCTATAGCCTTCTGCCACGAGAAACTTGCGGCTGTTGATGCATCCGTGGACTTTGGATTTTTCCTCAGATTGATGTAACCTAGTTCAGACATAGAATTCATATCGAACCAACCCCGCACCCCTCTGTAATTTACACGTGCAAAACTTATCTTCCCTGGCATGCACCTGTATAGCCCCTGAGCCGCATCCAAACACATGCGAGCCTTCCTGACCCACGTCAATTTACAGTCAGAGGCCGAGTCCAGCACCTCCCGGAGATTTCCCTTCTCACAGTACTCCATGATGATGAGGTACTCTGGGTTTGGACCTGAAAACTCACACACAGCAAAGTGTCATAGCTGAAAGAGACCAGAGAGAACAGGGAGAGACCAGAGAGAGAGTACTCCATGATAGTGAGGTACACTGGATTTGGACCTGAACACTCCCACACAGAGCAAAGTATTATGGCTGCACTCACAGTCACCATGTAGAAACCAGAGAGAGAGAGACCAGGAAAGGACCAAAGACCAGAGAGAGACAGGGAGATATCGGAGACCAGAGAGAAACCAGAGGCCAGAGTGAAAGACCAAAGACCAGAATGAGAGACCAGGAAGGGACCAACGACCAGAAAGAGACCAGGGAGATATCAGAGACCAGAGAGAGACTAGAGAGAAACCAGAGGCCAGAGAGAGACACCAGAGTGAGAGACCAGAGACCAGGGAGATACCAGAGACCAAAGAGAGACCAGAGAGAGACCAGAGAGAGACCAGAGTAAGAGACCAGGGAGAGACAAAAAAACAGAGAGAGAGACCAAAGACCAGAGACCAGGGAGATACCAGAGACTAGAGAGAGAAACCATGGAGAGACCTGAGACCAGAAAGAGAAACCAGAGACTAGAGACCAGAGAGAGACCCCAGAAGGAGAGACCAGAGACTAGAGAGAGAGAGAGAGAGTACATGATGATGAGGTACTATGGGTTTGGACCTGAACACTCACACACAGAGCAGAGAATTATGGCTGCATTCACAGTCACCATGTAGAAACCAGAGAGAGAGACCAGAATAAGAGACCAGAGAGAAACAATGGAGAGACCAAAGACCAGAGAGAGAGACCAGAGAGAGACCAGAGAGAAACAATGGAGAGACCAAAGACCAGAAAGAGAGACCAGAGAGAGAGACCAGAAAGAGAGACCAGAGACAAGAGAGAGAGAGAGTGCATGAGGTACTATGGGTTTGGACCTGAACACTCACACACAGAGCAGAGTATTTTGGCTGCACATTCACTTTCACTGTGTGCATTTATGACAATAGTTATGTGACAACAACTGTCTGTGTTTGTCTGAAACAAATAGATAAATACAAAGATTGATGTTTTGTTTACCTTCTTCATTCCTGACGCAGATGCCAAACATTCGAAGGATGTAAGGGGATTCATAATGTCTCATGGTTTGAACCTCCTTCGTAAAAACTTTGTTGATCTCACTGTCAAGAAAGAGTCATTTTAAAATAATAATACATCAAACTACAAAGGCGCTTCACAATAAAAACTGCTGAGCCTGTACATTTCATTCATCAGTAAGTAGTAAATACTGTAATTATGTGAAATGAGCAATACTGCATTTACAGCTAGCTAAGAAGCATAGCAGCTACTTCATGTGGGTGCTCCCTGTGTGCTCTTACTATGTATCCTGTATGTGCGCTGCAACATTGAAATTTCCCCACTGTGGGAGGAATAAAGGTTCTCTTATCTTATATCAAGGCTCACATGGTAAACAATGTGATCACAAATGTATGATTACGCTTTTTGCCCACAATCGTCAATAGAGCAAACATGCTACATGAAACATTTTGATTGCGGCCAGAAACATACAATTATAAACATAAGATTAAGATATTTTTTATACAGTGCGAAAGTATTCGGCCCCTTTCAACCTTTCGCCACATTTCAGGCTTCAAACATAAAGATATCAAAAAATTATTTTTTGTCATGAATCAACAACAAGTGGGACACAATTGTGAAGTGGAACGAAATTTATTGGATAATTTAAACTTTTTTAACAAATAAAAAACTGAAAAGTGGGGCGTGAAATATTATTCGGCCCCTTTACTTTCAGTGCAGCAAACTCAGTCCAGAAGTTCAGTGAGGATCTTTGAATGATCCAATGTTGTCCTAAATGACTGATGATGATAAATAGAATGCGCCTGTGTGTAATCAAGTCTCCGTATAAATGCACCTGCTCTTTGATAGTCTCAGGGTTCTGTTTAAAGCGCAGAGAGAACCATGAAGACAAAGGAACACACCAGGCAGGTCCGAGATACTGTTGTGGAGAAGTTTAAAGCCGGATTTGGATACAAAAAGATTTCCAAAGCTTTAAACATCTCAAGGAGCACTGTGCAAGCAATTATATTGAAATGGAAGGAGTATCAGACCACTGCAAATCTACCAAGACCCGGCCGTCCCTCCAAACTTTCATCTCAAACAAGGAGAAGACTGATCAGAGATGCAGTCAAGAGGCCCATGATCACTCTGGATTAGAGTTTCGCTTTTCAGCCCAAGCCCGAGCAGGCCCGAGGCCCGACCTAAGTTTGGGCCGGGCTCGGGCCTGATTTTGGCGCTCAGCTGTCGGGTTCGTGCTTCTTTTTTTTTTTTAATATATGTTTCTTTTTTATTATTATTATAATTATTTTTAAATGATTTTTATACATAATGATATGCATATATATATATATATATTTATTAATAACAATGTCTGTTGATTGACAACAAGTTATCAAAAAAAGTTAATATATTAATGACACCGTAACCAGCGTGTCCTACAGCAGCAGCGAGCCGTGAACGCATCATCCCCGTGTCTCCTGCTGCATGCTGTGGTCAACAGCGAACAGGAACAATAGTAGAAATGGATCGAGTGGAGACAAAACAAATTCAAAAGTGGAGACTAAACTTGCAATTGGAAGGTGAGTGCGTACAACAAGGATATCAGATGTGTTGGGTTCTGTCGGGCTCGGGCCTGTTATACAGCGTTCAATGGTCGGGCTTATACGGGCTCGGGCTTAACATTAGCGGGCTCGGGCCGGGTCGGGCTTCATTTTTCAGGCCCGAACGAAACTCTACTCTGGATGAACTGCAGATAACTACAGCTGAGGTGGAAGAGTCTGCACAAATCTGGCCTTTATGGAAGAGTGGCAAGAAGAAAGCCATTTCTCAAAGATATCCAAAAAGTCTTGTTTAAAGTTTGCCACAAGCCACCTGGGAGACACACCAAACGTGGAAGAAGGTGCTCTGGTCAGATGAAACCAAAATCGAACCTTTTGGCCACAATGCAAAACGATATGTTTGGCGTAAAAGCAACACAGCTCATCACCCTGAACACACCATCCCCACCTCAGCTGTAGTTATCTGCAGTTCATCCAGAGTGATCATGGGCCTCTTGTCTGCATCTCTGATCAGTCTTCTCCTTGTTTGAGATGAAAGTTTGGAGGGACGGCCGGGTCTTGGTAGATTTGCAGTGGTCTGATACTTCTTACATTTCAATATAATTGCTTGCACAGTGCTCCTTGAGATGTTTAAAGCTTGGGAAATCTATTTGTATCCAAATTCGGCTTTAAACTTCTCCACAACAGTATCTCGGACCTGCCTGGTGTGTTCCTTTGTCTTCATGGTTCTCTCTGCGCTTTAAACAGAACCCTGAGACTATCAAAGAGCAGGTGCATTTATACGGAGACTTGATTACACACAGGTGCATTCTATTTATCATCATCAGTCATTTAGGACAACATTGGATCATTCAAAGATCCTCACTGAACTTCTGGACTGAGTTTGCTGCACTGAAAGTAAAGGGGCCGAATAATATTGCACGCCCCACTATTCAGTTTTTTATTTGTTAAAAAAGTTTAAATTATCCAATAAATTTTGTTCCACTTCACGATTGTGTCCCACTTGTTGTTGATTCATGACAAAAAATTAAAATTTTATATCTTTATGTTTGAAGCCTGAAATGTGGCGAAATGTTGAAAGGTTCAAGGGGGCCGAATACTTTTGCAAGGCACTGTACATCCCACTGTGGGAAAATGTCAGTGTTGCATCACCGATTACAGGACAGTAGAAATGAGGAGCACACAACACAAAATAACTCTAATACTGAGGTAAAATAAAATCTCTAACATTTGCATAAAAAGAAGCAAGTATAACATCTCTAGCTTTAGCATAAACTATAAATTGGACAGATTTTTGAATGGCAAAGTGGGACACACTTGATGGGCAGAACACGGTAGCAAATACTTAATTACTGTATTTCGATTACTTGTATACGGTACATATACAGTAAGTCCAGCATCTTTTCGTTCTCACAGTACTCCATGATAATGAGGTACTCTTAGTTTGGATCTGAAAGTATGACTGCATTCACAAATGTATACATCATATCATCATATATTTACAGTGTATGGTATATATACATAAGTAATTGAGTAAAAGTATATAAACAGGTTTAATGGTTCCAGAGAGCTTCACAATCCTCCCCAGAAGCAAATAATAAACACACATTTACAATAACAATAACATTAGACACCAACTAAGAGAAGTATTCTAAAAGTATTCTAAATTGAACGAAGTTTCTCTATGCAGTAACATAGAGTCTTATATACAATTTTAAAAAGTATTTCATTAGTGCTGTGTAACTTAATACTTTTCAAAGTAACTTCAACACATTTGCGGTGAGTGGAAAGAGCAGGTGAATTACATTACTCTCGGCCCATCCATGGCTCTCAAACTATTACAATACTAACTGAATGGACTGGCCACAGCTGCCGTGGGACTTGTGTGTCCATAATATTGCCAGAAAGCTGAATTCTCGCTGTATTTTTCACATCATAAAGGCCTGAGTTAATGAGTGCATTTATTTTTTTTTATAATTTTTGATTTCTAGTTTTGTATAAAATCTTGAGGGACATGGGACACGATAACTTTTCTCAGTGGACTATACGGACCTGACGCTGGTGTCCGCCTGGTCAATGAAGCGTTTGATGGCCACAGTGAAGCCGTGGTACTCCCCTTTGTAAACCTCAGAGGACGAGGTCACCATGAACGGCTTTTGAGGGAAATCGTACTTCAGCTCCTCTGGTTTGATCATACGGATTACTTCATTTGGGGCACTGGGTTTGTTCACTGAAATAACAAGACAATATTAAACAACTTACTTCTGCTTTGGACACCAACATGTGCTTCCTCTTTTCGCTCTCTCACTGAGAAAACTGATTTTTGTACATAAGCAAATTTGAGTCTTGCCAACACAATACTCACACATTTCCACCATCTTGGTCACATTTAGTTTTACATCTTCAAATTCACGCAGCATGGCATCCATTGTTTCTTGCTGCTTTTCCACATAGTCCAGTAGCACTAAGAAACACAACACAAGTGAAAAAGAATAATCCTTTTCAGACTAAAAACAAGTCTGGTACAAGTTTACCAGGTTTAGGGGAGAAGAATAGTATTTTTATGTTTGTTGCCAGAAACCCAGGGACCATGTACAGAAACAACCATTGGAATTATTTTGGTTCACACTTGAGTCGACAAATACACTACCACAACACAACCATAATATCACCATTTAAAGGGGTCAGCGTTGACCTTGAGCGGTTTGAGATTCATCCATCCATTTTCTACCCCTCAATCCATTTCTGGGTCGGGGGGGTGGCAGTTAGAGATTCATCCATGCTTATTATCAGAAGCTTTTGGTAAAAACATGGAACGCTCCTTCTTTCTAAAAGCGTGTAGCTCATGAATTAGTTTTGGCAAGTCAAATTACAGTGAATGATGAATGATGTAATGATGATGGATATGACATTTTTAAGTTTGAAAAAAACAAAACAACTCCTATCTCTGATGGTAGCGCAGGGTTAGGGCAGTAAGTGCATCTTGATTTGATGTTCTCAGCAGTGAAATGTTTGGACTCCCATCCAGAATTTTTGAATCTGAAGGGAGATGATCTGAGGACTTCCTTATTCAGGAAGTCCAAATAAATGTAATTTTTGCCAACCCTTACAAAGAAAGAGGCTATGGTGGAATTCTACTGACGGAAATGTATAGATACAGTACAAAAATCAGTACTCTAGTACAGAGGAAAGAGAGGGAACCCCCCAGAGAGTATGGGAGAGAGGTGTAGGGTCAGAGAGTGTTTTGGGATTAGTCAGGAGGGTCGGAACCAAATAACCTTCTGCATTTCAAAGTGCGCTTTGCTGTTTACTTTTGTATCTTTTATGTGTTTGAACTATATTATTACTACACTACTGCTCTTGTCTGTCTGGACGTGGTTTGCCTCTTGGTTTCCCTTACATTTCTTGAGCTCCGTGTCATCGTCCCGAGAGTCGACCTCATCCAGCTTCTGCCTGTTGCTCATCTCGAACACCTGGTAGAGCATGCCGCCGTGCTCCACCTGCAGCGCCCCCGACAGGACTTGGAAGGCATCGTTCAGCCGCTCGTTCACCGTGATAAATCCATCCAAGTGGCTGCCGGACTTGACCACACGCAGGACCCAACTGGCCTCGGTGTAGCGCTGGATCAGGTCCCGGGCAGACGTCAAAGTGATGCTCAACTCCTGAAGAGCTTTTTCCACCTCGTCCGATTTGAGAACGGTTTTTCTCTTTTTGGCCGACTGCACCAGAGACTCCAGAGCTTTCACCCGCTCGGCCACGCGACGACAGCGCTTCTTGTTGGCCTTGACGTTCTCAACCAGGTTGTAGATGGCAGAGGCAAGGGATAGTATAGGGTCGATGAAGTCCATGGCTGAGGACACAAGAAGAGCAAAGGATTTTTTAAACTATGGAATCAGAATCAGAATCCTTTTATCAGATTCAGATTCAGATTCAGTTTATTTGCCATTTGCGGTAAAAACACCACATTGGAATACATTAGCAAAAGTCACCAGTGTGCACAGACAAATACAGACATAAAACAACATTAAAAGACAAAAATAAAACAAATAAAACAGTTAACAAATGTCACTGTGAAATCGATCGACTAAAACAATTGCCATGTGAGGAACAGGAAGTCACAAAATTAGGAAATTGCTTTGGCTCTCGGTGCAACCAAGTTAAGCAGAATAAAATCAAAAGCATGCATAAATAAAAATCTACATTAAAAATCTACATAAATGTCTTCAGTTTATCTATATAGGTCCAATGTATATATATTTTAAATCTTATTATTGTTTATGAGGCCATTCATTGAGACTTGGTTGATTTGTAAAAGGTACGATTACTTACAATGGGGAGTTTTGTGTCCTCTAAGAGAACATTTTAACAAAAAGTGTTATTTGCACAATCAGAGTTTGAAATACAAACTAAATGTCTACCAGCCCAATAGAGCAGAACAATTATAAGCACTTAGGAAAACATCTATTGTCAAAACTAATGGGCTCTATGCACGCACCACTTCCGCGTTTTAGCTACAACCCCACCTCACTTCCTGTTCGCGGGAAACGACTTGAGTTTCACTGGAGTTCAGCAGGGGTTTACACGACTTTCCCAAATAATGCTCAAGCGGGAATTAAACTGTGAGGATACTGGGCATTTTTGGGACACAGCAGTGCTCTTTGATTGTGCTGTCATCGTGTTTTTATAAAGTTTGCAAATCTCTCTGAGTGGCCACAGTCAAAGCTCTACCTCAGAGAGAAAGCACAGCGACACTTTTGGGTCAGTCTCAGCTGAATGTATCGATCTAATTACTAAAAGACGTCACTACAACTCACCTAAATGCCATAGGATAGCATGGACAGGAAGTGAACGGGCTGATCTGCGTTAACAGGAAATGACGTCACGCCTCCCCGTGCATATAGCCCATTACATTACTGTTAAATGATTGTTTTTGAATATGGACAGAAACATTTTTTCACATGAACAATTACTGCTCTCTCAGCTATTCCTCAGACTGATACAGTAGCAGCCTGGTTTGTATATTCAATCCCCCTTTGACCCCCTGAGCATATGGTCAGTAAATCAAGGTTGCATCCATAAGTTCAAGGACAACAGCCACAGCGCAGGCTCTGAAGCAGCAAATCAATACTGGTCGATGCACACGTGAGGTCAATGTTGTCGTATGAAGAGTGTAGTAAAATCATCATTCAATTTAGCGTATTATTGTATGTTATTGTTTTGTTATGTAATTTCTTTGATTAATGCTTTCAGTACGTTTTCAGTATTGTTTACTTTGAGAAAATATTTTATTCTTCAGAAGAAATACTGTAAAATCTGTCATTTTAAAATTCTTTTAGAGCTATTTTTAAGCCTATATTGATGCTGATAATGTATGTATTTTATTGTGTTGATTTGGATCCAGAAAGTTCTGTCATACAATTATAGCTATGTATTTCAGTCCAGAAAGGTCACCAGACCAGTAGGTGAAGTTACTGGTCAAAGCTATGAAGAGGCGAGCTTATAGAGGAGGAAAACTGTCAAAATAATAAATAAATGAACAAATATATACATGTCACAATTTGCCAATATTTATTAAGATAACACAACCAATGATGGGATTCAATAACTAAATATTATCATTAAACAACGTTTTTTGGTTCAGTATTTATTTATTTCCTTGTCCATTCAATGGTTAAGATTTGAAAATATTTATTTTTAAACTGCAGTTTTTCCCACAAAGAAATAACAAATCCTCTTTTTTCCTCTTTTATTTATTTTCTTCATATTTTCATTTATTTCCTTTTTTATTAATGTTTTATTATTTGTGATGTTGATATTTCTTTGGGCAAAAAACTGCAGTTAAATAGTAATATATACATTTTTAAATCTGAACCTCTTAATAAGGAAATAAATAAATGCAGACAGAAAATAATACAGCTTTATTACTAGCTTTGGACAAAAAAACGTTGTATGATAATAATAAAGATACATATTTATTAAATCACATAGTTTGTAGCGTTATCTTAATAAATATTTGCAGATTGTGACATTCATTTATTTATTATTTTGACAGTTTGGGTCCTCCATATGAGCTTGCTTACACTAAAGTCTTGTATGGATTGCTGGAAAGGAACAAATGTGTCAACAGTGCGATGCATAGTCTTCTATCACAGCTCTTCACTGTTAGGGTCTTACGTCTAAACACATGAGCAGGAACAAAACTGACTTGTTGAGACATGTCCCTTGGCTATTTGTGGAAAGTGTTAAGCCTTTAAAAAGATGGAATACTTGCTGGACCATGAAGCGAATCAGCTATAACTTTGAAAATAGTTATAGTCGCTGTATCCATACAGTAAACTTGTAAAGTAAACGTGGGTGGGAGCACAGACTGTATATAGCGCAAAGAAGCCCAATAGGGAAGTGCTCGTGGACAAAGTTTTGCTCCAACTTGCTCTGGCTTCTATTGACTCACGCTCAGTAACTGTTTTTTTCCACACTCAGCATTTTTGTTCTTTCTGTATGATCCCGGTATTCTTACTGTATGTGATAATGTCTTTGTAAATCCAGATATGAGTTATATTATAATCGACCAATCAGATTCCTTAACTCGCAATGGAAACATTAGAAGCAAACGCCGTCAAAACAAAAGCCAATATAAGAAAATAGGCTCGCGCTTATGTTCAAATCAGCCTCTAAAAATTGCTTACATATGTATATACTGTATGTAGTATACTGTATATGTATGTGTATACTATATGTGCAGAAGACAAACATGGGATGAATGTAATATTTCTGCTGGAATGAATGAATGAAATGAAAATGAAAGTAAATTAAATAAAAATGAATGAATAGACTAGCAAGTTGTAGCAAGTTGGACTTACAATAACGAACAATAACCAAATACATACTGTAGCAATGAATGATACACACAGCTACATTGAGGTACAATTTGAGACCTTGCTGTGTCATGACGGTACTACTTTACACAATATATATACAGTAACAGCAGCTGGGAAATCTTAGACGTGTCGTTTAGAGCAACCCCCCTTCTCTGCAGGAGACACACCCTCGGCTTAAACCACAACAAGAAGACAGAAAAGATATGGATCTGGAGAAATGTCTTACCTTTAGTCAGAAATCTTCAAACTGAAACCATGTGATCGCTCCTCCTTGAACTGCAGCTTCCTCTTCCACTCTCTCCACCGGTGTTTGCCTCGATCTCATGCCCTTCCTCCTTCCTCCCTTATGTGTGTCTGTGTGCATGTTTTATTCACCGCACCACACATTCACTTGACACCTGACCAAAGGAGACAGAGTGTCACGGGAGGGCTACACATCTTCTTGCAAAGCTGATATGGATTCAAACCAGGACTTACATATGTTTTGGTCCTGGTTTAGTCCAGTTTTAATCTGGATTTAGATCTACTTTCATCCTGATGTAGACCTGATTTAGCCCTGGTTTATTCCTAATTTAGAACTGTCTTATTCCTGGTTTAGACCTGCTTTAATTCTGGTTTGGATCAGATTTAGACCTGGTTAGATTGCAGTCCTGGTTTATGGCCAAGGGTGGGTCATAGATTAAAGGCAGCTAGTGGGATGGGTCTGCAACATGGGGCTTGTGTGTGTGTGTGTGTGTGTGTGTGTGTGTGTGTGTGTGTGTGTGTGTGTGTGTGTGTGTGTGTGTGTGTGTGTGTGTGTGTGTGTGTGTGTGTGTGTGTGTGTGTGTGTGTGTGTGTGTGTGTGTGTGTGTGTGTGTGTGTGTGTGTGTGTGTGTGTGTGTGTGTGTGTGTGTGTGTGTGTGTGTGTGTGTGTGTGTGCACTTGTTTTCAACTCCTGGTGGGTTCCATAACCTGAGATTCCACTCACGTCATGGGGACTGGTTTTACGTGGTGGGGCCCGAACACCGGACCCCACTGGTCCAAGCTTAATAATCAATGGGTAATGCTTTTCTAACGGTCCTTATGCAGTCTCTGTAAAAATATGGAAAGGACCCCTGGAGGTTTACTTTCCTGAAAAAAGTGTGTTATGTGTCGGAACCCTGGTGGTGGGTTGCGGGATATCAAGGAGGGGCACACTGGGGCAATTTCAGTCCAGCAGGCTGGAGCCAATCATGGAGCTGCACAACAGAGGAAAACAGGTGTCAGGCTAGAAAAAGGTGCAAGTGTGTGGTTCATTAGGCTGCAAAAAATCATGGAGGAGCACACTGAAGCGCACGCTTACAAACCACTGGTAAGTGCTGACTACAAGTCATGACTTCAAATTGTTATATAGAATGATTACAAATTATTTGTTGTTTGTGCAGCTTAGTCAAGAGTCCCTAATTGATGAAGTCGACTCAGATTCTGACGATTTAACTGTCAAGAAGAAACCTGTAAAAAAGTATGGAAAAAGAAAAATCAAAAACACTTTTCTTCAAGACTCGGAAAGTGACGAACCAAAGGCAAATAAGATTGTTATCATGCAGCTGCAAAAGAAGAAAAATGGGGGGCGAGTTTACAGCAAGAGACACTTCTGCCTCTACTGTTCAATGTCCTGCCACAAAATGTCCCGTCATTTGACTAGAAAACATGGAAATGAAAGTGACGTAGCCAGAGCATTGGCTCTACCTGTGAAATCTAAAGCACGTAAACTTCAGTTTGATTTGATCAGGAATAGTGGAAACCGTGAGCACAATTTTGAGGTTTTAAAGGCCGGCATTGGAACTTTAGTCCCAGCTAAACAGCCAAATTCCCCAGTTAAATCCAGTGAGTTTTTGCACTGTATAGACTGTGGGGCATTGCTTAAGCGAAAGTCGCTGTGGAGGCATGTGGCCAGGTGCCGGCTTTCACAGAAAGATGCCCAGGCTAAACCAGGCTAAACCAGGTAGAAG